GTGATAGGTACTAAGTAGCATTACAAAGGGTGGATTTCTACCCGCCAGGGGCCGGCCCAGGCAGTTGCAGTGTTAGAAAACAAGGAGGGACTGAAAATAAGGGAGGGAGTGCTAAAGCTATTCTTGGAAGATTCCTAAGGAAGAGAAAAACCCTCTCGAAGGGCTGTGGGGAATCTTAAAGGGTGGATGGGCCTGAGAGGGTGTTCTCGACAGAGCTCCGGCAGGAACTACAGTGCATTTATTAATTTAGTAATTTCAGATGTCCGTGTATGAACTTATGACCGGCAATACTTGCCCTTCAACTGTCTCAAGAGTTCCTAGCACTTTTATTTAAATAGAATAATTAGTATTTATTATTTGTGTAAATGCTTTTTACTGCATGGTCCCCACCGATTTTGTCCCTTTACAGAATTTGCTGTCCCAAGGCGTTGCTATCTATTTTCCAGTTGCTTCGTTTTCAGTGTCTATCACTGTTTCGTTCACCAAGTGGCTATAACAGATCTATTACGCATCTCAGTAGTATTCCCAAACATTCAAACATGTCAATCAGTCACTCTATACCTGCTCTGGAAAAGTTTCTTTGCTATTGTCTGCCACATCCTTACCAATAGCTATTACAACTATCCTGGAAGATGTGAAGTTGTATCTTATTATAGAGTTGATTTGCATTTCCCTGGTGACTAGTGATACTGAACATCCTTTCATATTCTTTTTTTGCCATTTGGATATCCGCCTTGGAAAATAGTCTATTCAGACCATTTGCCAGTTTTTTGTTGTGTTACATTCTTTTAGCATTGATTTTCAAGAGGGTTTCTAAAAACGTATTCTGGGTATAAGTCTCCTGTCTGATATATGATTTGCAAACATACTTTTCCATTCTGTGAGATGTATTTTAATTTTCTTGCCAGTGTCCTGTAGAGAACAAAAGTTTCTAATGTTAATGGAGACCTATATATCTATCTGTGCTATTCTCACAAATCTCCTCAAGGTGCTAGAGGAGGGTACATTTGTAGATCATTTTACTGTGGCAGATTAGGTTGGACATAACAAATCCATTTCCCTAACCCTCTGAATCCTTTCATCAACAGTAAGTCCTGGAGTATCAAGCATCTCTGATTCATTCACAGTGGGCCATCTTTTAATCCATATTTCTGCAAACCAACCCAATAAACTATTAACACCTTTCTTTATTCTGTGAGCCACAACATTAAATTCAGGAACTCTGTTGGGCCCATATCAACAAACTGATACAGGTATGTTTTAACCACTGTTTTCCCACACCCATAAAATCCATGCCCACACTTGCTCATCAAGCCTCTACTTATAAGAGTTAGAAAACTCAAGAAGCTCTTTGGGAGAATAGAGGACCTACTCATGGGTCACACTATGTACCTCACCTTTAGGAGTCTTCTGCGATTTGCACCTGATTATAGACCTAGAGCCAAAAGTGCGTGGTGGAGTGGGGCCTGAGGAGTATCAGCATTACCTAGTTGGTAAACACAGGATTAGTTTTTGCAAGTATACTAGAAGTGGTCAACACCACATGGCATGGGGATAGGGTGGAGATGCCTTCACCATGGTGGGTGGAGAAATCTCTTCCTCTGGCAGAATAATCTTACTAGAGTTTGGGAACTCAACATCCTCAGCCTTATCAGTATCCTCTCAAACATCTCCATCCCAGTTTGTGGAATTCCATTCTGACCAATGCCCTCACCTTTATGTCAGATACCCTTCAAGACTAAGCATTAAACTTATGCTGTATTTCAGCCAGTTGAATTAAGAAGGCCTGTATTTGGGTTTCTATTATCTTAGTCCTACAGTTAAAGGAGAAGAAATTCTCTTTTAGGGCACACTCAGAAAATTCTAAATTTTTTGTGTGCCTGGAACTAGAAAGTTGAATCTTTTGAGCTCCTTATTTTCCTATTTTGAACTCATTGCTTTCCTTATTGTTCTAGAAATGCTAAGAACAACTAGCAAGCATCATTACATTTCCCACTCTGCCAAAAATATTCAGAAGTTCCATATACGGAGTCACTAAATTCCTTTACATTTCACAGATGGTGAATGGGGATGATCAAATGGATCTATATTGCATATTACTTTAAATAGTTCACACCAACAACTCCTAGTATTCCTCAGAGTATTAGGAGAGACTATGGTATCTTTAAGTTTCATCAAATTAGAGAGCCAACTCTAGGAATCTCCAAAAGCCATTAAAGAATTTCATCTTTACAATTGTGTTTCTCTAAAGCCACCCTGCTTCTGGTATCAAAATCTGTATTAGTCAATGCTTAGTGGAGAAACTGACTTAGTGCAAGATATACAAATGAGTAAGAATTTACAAGATTGGCCTACAATGCCCACCCGCAGAGTCAGATATGGAAGAAGCAAAGGGCCTGTCTGTGTGCTAAAGATCCAAAGGATCCAGTCAAAGGCCTGGAGTTCACTGCAGTATCAAGTGCGAGTCGGTATCAGGAGGCCAAAGGGTCTGTGACGGAAGCCAGGAGATGATATCTGAGATGAAAGTGAAGACTGGAACTCCTTTGTAGAAACAGAAGCAAGCCTTCCTTCTTCCTTTCCCTTTTATACCATTTAGGCTGCAAACCCATTGGTTGCTGTCATTCATGCCCAGTAATCCCAGAAAATCTTCAATCAGTCCCCTCATATACACCCAGAACTATGCAGAACCAATTTAGTTGAGCGTTTCTTACTCAAAGTGACACAATTAGTTGACTATCATAGTGAACCTTCTCTAATAGTGAGCTCTGGGGTGCTATCTCAAAGCAAACTTTTTCACTTTTGCAATTCCAAATGTGCAACAGGTGGGATGTTTTTGGTTCCTCACATTCTCTGAAGGCATTTTTTTCCTATTGTGCTGTTTTAAAGTACTCATTTTCCTTTTCATTTTAATCTTTTCAACAACCAAGCTGTCCTCTTTCCTATCTATGCACATCTCCAGTTTACCAGAGCTCCCTCCTGGCCAAATTCAAAAATTTTTAAATCATTCCTCTGGGCCATTTGTTCTTGAATCACAATGTAGAGCTGGCTGAAAGTCCTCAACAGTGCCCAAGCCACAGCCTGAATGTTTGGCTGCCTTGAATTTTCCTCTGTCAGATTACTCTGCTGCATTTCATCTGAGTCTCCTGCAAAGACTTACGATGTGAGCAAAACCTAGACAAATTTTTTTGCCAAAGTATAAAACACATGACCTGGAGTCTAACTGCTAATGGAGTCCTTCTTCCTAGCTGATTCCACTGTAGGAATGGAGAAAATATAAATCAAATAATTACAAGATCCACAATAGCTTTCTAACTTTTATCTGGACCAAAGTGACTAACAGTATACACAAATGCATTGATGTGGTGGTGGTGGTGGTGGGGTCTATGACAACTTTTGATCTAAATAAACACTTTTTTTTTTTTTTTAGGAACCGGGGATTGAACTCAGGCCCTTGTGTTTGCCGAGCAAGCGCTTATTCTACTGAGCTATCTCCCCGGCCCCCTACTTTTCCTATTAGGTTATAATTTCCATGAAGGCAAAGATCTTGATTTTTCTGTTTGTCTCTGTATCTCTATAAATACTTGTTGATGGTTCATGAATAAATACTCATATTGTTAGATGCCATTATGGATAACAGCGGGCATTTTGCTACTGGCTCAACTATGAGAATATTAGCAAAAATAAAATAGATGGCATCAATTTAAGAGCTAGGTTTCAACAGTCTCAATCTTTTTGTGGTCTTATACTATCCAGAGAATGCTTTATGGGTTCGTGTGACTAACTGATAATGCAAGGGATTAGAAAGCAGGGCTTACCACCTCTTCTGAACATCAGAACAGTGCCAGACTTAAGGCTGCTTTGCAGAGGGGGTGCCCCACAGTCGAGCTCAAGTGTACTTACATAGGCACCCCCACGCATGCGCATGCAGCTGCCTCCCACTTAACACAAGAAACACATACAAATCAATCTTGTTTTCAGTAATTTATAGGAACTATTTAAATGTGCTTTCAGTAATCTTCTGATAAAAGCAGAAAGTTCTTCACTGATGGTGGTAGTATTTGCACTGTGCTTTATAAATGTTGGAAGCTGTCAGTTTGGCATATGAGTTTGCTTCAAGCTTCACAGACTTGTATAAATAAACCTTCTACTGCTCTAGGCAGAAGTAATCAACTTCCTTTGTAGGTAGAGTTGGCAAGGTTTCTTAGAACAAAGTGTTTGCTATGAAGTCATGAAAAAGAAACACTGATGGCTTTTAGAAGAAAAGAGAAAAGGGATGGTAAGATGGGTGGCAGCCCTGCTCTACTTTCAACAGCTTCTTTATAAGAAAGAAATCTGCAGTCTGCAGACCCAGCCCCTTTCTAGGTGTGTGATGCTGACAATTGAGGCAGAGAGTAATACTCAGCTCAATTAACCTTCTTTAGCGAAAGCATCATGATACACATCATTTGGCAGTGGCTTGGCTGGGGTTACAGCATATATTTAGATTGAACAAACAGATATGCTAACGTTTTCTAGGACATTATCCCCCAAGCTTATAAATCCTCAAAAAAGTATGTTCATCCACTTCCAGCAAAAGGGGTCAGACACCTCTGCTACATGGTCTTGTGCAGGCCCTGAACTCCACTAGTCTATAAGACAAGTCCGGATTAGCTGATTCTCAAACTTCCTTTACTTTTTTCTCTGCAGCTTCTTCAGGAAGATAAAATGGAGAAACTGGAAGAGATTGTTGAAAAATACCCTTGTGCCTTTCCTTGCTGGGTTGGACCCTTTCAAGCATTTTTCTTTATCTATGACCCAGACTATGCACAGACACTTCTGAACAGAACAGGTAAGAAAAGGGACAAATCCTGGGGACCTATCCCTCCTAGGAGTGAGACTCACATGTCCCTCAGGGAGCATCTGAAGCTAAGATTAGTATGGGCTTAACAGATCTGGGAGTGAGAGAGGAGGCAGCACCCCTCTCCCAGTCCATGGCTTTCCCGTGCCCTCCGAAGTCCCTCGTCTATTCCCAGTTCCAGGGCCCTCTGATGGCTGGCTGGCTTTAGCACACTGGCCAGGGACTAATTTTGCCTCTTGGTTTTGTGATTTTATGCCAGCCACTGTCCACCTTACTGTATCTTGAACACAGTCTCTAGAGAATGTCAAATGTAGCTCTGCCTCTGCTGGTTCAGTAGTTAACCTTGGATGCTCAAGCGTTCTCTCTCCAGTCCAGCCTCTTGACTAATGACCCAAAATGTGTCTTCCTTTTCTGTGTGTTTCTCAGCTATGTTCTCTTTGGGGCATGAGTCATCTGCCTCCCCATGAAATCCTTTTTTCCAGACCAACATAATCTTATAGAATAAAGCTGAAGTGGCCAATTTTTGCTCTGTCAGTTTTTTTTTAAATGTCTTGTATTCTCATCTTCTTTGTGCTTCACATCCCCATCCTTAATAAGTCCTAAAAATAGGCCTCTCCTGGAAGGTCTCCATGTTTCCAGCCCTACTCTGATTTGCCCCAAGTTTACCTGGCAAGGATAAGAGCTGTTAGGGTTACAAGAACCAAGAGGCATTTGGTCCTCACTGTTTGGTGTCTTCCAGCACAGCCTTACAGTCCATTTACCTTCCAAAAAGAATATATGCTGTCCCAACTCCTGGTCTAGAAATGTGGTGACCCTCAGCAATCATTTTTCTGTTAGAGGAAGTGCAAACAAGTAGGAGATCTGGGTGTTGGTAGATACCTCCCTCCTGCAGCTTGAAGTTCTTTGGTATTAGACCAAGACTTGGGGTCCTACCTGGTCTCCAAGGGCTACAGGAAGTAACCAAGGGCTTCCTTTTGCTCACTATCCATGGTGAGTGCTAGCAAATGAAGAAAACTTTCCCTGACTTGAACTGGTAATGAGTGCTGTCTCTAACACTGTCTTTTGTTTCCTATGCTTGTCTCTGAAGACCCCAAGTCCCAGTACCCGTACAAGTTCATGACTCCATGTGTAGGTATGTATGCACCAGTGAAATGTGCAATGCACTTCCCCTAGAACAACATTTAAAAGAGACTCAAAATGTATCCTTCTTTAGGCCAAAGTACTACTCCAGTATGGATAAGTACCTTATTTTCTTTAGCTAATCATCAGTTGATGGATATATAGACTGTTTCCAAGATTTAGCTACTATGAGTTGTACTGTTATTTATTTATGGGAAAATAGATGAACCACAAGACCATGAAGTTAAGTGAAGTAAATCAGACACACAAGCTTAAATAACTACATAATCTTTCTTATGTGAGACACCTAAAATACATATAAATTTAAAAGTTAAACAAAGGCTAGGCCATGCAGTGCACGCCTGTGAGCCCAGCCCTTGGGAGGCAGAGACAGGAGAATCACTGCAAATTTGAGGCCAGCCAGGGATACATAGTGTAGCCAAGGCCAGATTTATTTAAATTTATTTTTATAAATTAAAAAAATAGGCAATAGGAAATGGAGAGAGATATTTTGCAGAAAGGAGATCTAGAGACAGGAGGAGATGTGGGAAAGGGGAATAAAAAGAATTAAGATATCTTAAGTATATTTATCTACTTCCTAAGAGAAACGTAAACACTATGTATGTACTAATAAGAAATCATTTAAAAACACAAAACTTAGGCTTGGAATATTTGCACAGCACCTGCCTGGCAAGCACAAGGTCCTGAGTTCAATTCCTGGTACAAAAAAATAAATAAATAAATATTTTTTAAAAACCTTTAAAACATAGTGAGAAAGAGAGATGCAAATCTAAACTCCAACATTAAAAGTAGAGTGAGGTAGATCTCTACAGAGAGTTATCTGGTGTGATGCCAAATAGGAGCTCAAAGGTCAGCACTTTCTGGGAAGTTTCTTCATTTGTTTCTCTTCCAGCCTCATTTTAAAGGTAGCATATGTATGAATCCATCCCTTCTCTTTCTGTGTAATTATAGCCTTGCCAACCCCAATCTGTTTTTATCCTTTCCTCTCTCTTGTTGTTTTCCTTTCTTTTTGTTTTCTGGTTGCCATAAGCAATTCAGTGAAATCGTGCTCTAAAGTACAATTTGACAATATTTTTAGAGCAGGTAGATTAAGCTCTTTTGTCATATATCGGTATGTACATTAAAGCAGAAAAGGATTAAATCAAAGGCTTTGAATGCAAAGCCAGTCTATATCTTGTCTACCACCTGCATAGACTGGTTGAGTGTGACTCTAGGGGAGTAGCTTAATCTCCCTGTATCTCAGTTTCTCCTTCTCTGAAAATGAAGTGAGAGTCAGTGTTATGGGTGTCGTGAGGATTAAATGAAAGACATATTTTTAGTACTTAGCATAATGGCTGGTGTTGTACCAAGTGCTAGCTCCAGAGCATGCGTCGTGAGCCTAATGTTCGGTGTAATTCAAACTTTAAAGTCTTTTTGAAGCCAGATCCTTAACAATCACTCTAAAAATGGAAGACTGTGATGTATTAGCCTCCGTAAATGTTTCCAATGTTGTGTTATTCATGGACCAGGGCTCAAGGAAGAGCTGTGCACAGAATGATATCCTTGCCTAGTTCCTGGTGAATTTGTGTTCACAAGATAATTATGGATTGGCTTGCAGACAAAGGACCTGAGGATTTGTCACATTTCTACCAGCTAGAGAGGGGCTCAATTTGGAACCGTATGTATTTTCATTTAATCTACACAACACAGTGGGGTAGGTAGGTATTATACTCCATTGTTGAGAAAACTCAGCTCAGGAAGGTTAAGTAACTTCCTTAATTACTACAGAGGTAGTAGCTGGTCTTTTGGGGGTATGCACTTACAGACTTTGAAATTCTCTTTCACAATGTTCAATACATTTCATCCCAGATGCAAATATTAAAACTCACCACCATTTGAATCCATAATCACCACTTTGATATTCCACCACTTCGTGAGTGCCTGTGGGTCATGGTCACTCGATGCTGTGTCTCTTCTCTCCTTTTCTAATAAAATGGCATGAGGTTCTGTGTCCTTGTCTCTGAAGGAAAAGGACTCCTGAATCTAGATGGGCCCAAATGGTTCCAGCACCGTCGCCTGGTAACTCCTGGATTACAGTGTGATATCCTGAAGACGTATGTTGAGGTGATGACCCATTCTGTGAACACAATGCTGGTAAGTGAGTTGGGGGAGTGCAGCACTGGTGTATGGGTGTTGGACTGAGTTCAGTCCAACAGGAACCAAATTAAGTTTACATTTAGCGGGTGGTGAAAAACAAAAGTTTATTTCTAGAAATAATATACAATTACCTGTTGGGTGATAGAGGTCTATGCCAGTCTTTGCTAGGTTCTTTGTTTTTGGGGTTTTTTTTTTTTCATAATTTTATTGAGAAACAAATAGCAATGAGACAGTTTCAAACCAAATTGGTAGGACAGTTTCAATAATTAACACATTGCATACATTCTTCCTAGTGGTTAATTGCTGTACAAGATGCGGACTTGATATCCTATTTACAAACACCATTAGAACAAATCCCTCTATTCATTAAGAGAATGTAACTATATATCTATCCTAACCACTTTGAATACACAGATACAAAATAGACATTCATCTATATCCCCTTTTTTTTGTTAAGTTCCATCATTTAAATATTATAGGTGTGTAAACTCAGCAAAATATTCTAAAAGATCCAGTAGTCCATAATAGTATTGGGTCTTCTGCTTCACTGGCAATGTCAGAAATTGTTGACCTGAGTCCCCTACAGCTCAACATAACACCATGGTTTTACTTCTTATACTTCGTTTTTATACTTTTCTGCTGGATGGTTAAGACCAAGGGTTGGAACAAAAGTTGTATCTTTTGGGTCTGATAAGGTCAGTGAAATCCCCTCAGGATTTATCCTGAGATCCTGTACCTCAGATTGTAGAACCTTTGTCAGTGTTAGCCATGTGGATGAGTCATGGCCATTGCTTGGCCAGTGTGCTCTTTGTGAAAGCCTGAGAGAATGTTTTCTCTCCATGTGACTCTCCTTAGGCTCACTCTACATCATCGATCACTTTCCTCTTTGGCCTCATAATCTCCTTGATCAGAAAATTTGGGACACTATTTGCTAGGTTCTTTGGGTGGTTAAAAGAATGAGAAGCTCTGGTCCCTTGCCTTGGACATTGTCTGAAAGTGTATGGCAGTAGCCCATATTCCAAGTGGTGGTATTCAAGCAATAAGTCCTATAAGTAACTGATAAGGAAGCCAAGAGCAGCTATAGTAGCCTCAGTTTGCAGAGGAGACTTGGATTTACCATGAAAAATAAGATAGGCATAAATGAATAGGTAAAGTGGATGAAAGAATTCTAAGAAGAGTAAATCTGCCTGACCAAAAGTGCAAAGGTTGGAAGGAATTTGTCCAATCGTCAATAAAGGATTGGGCAAAGAATAAATATCCCTATTAATGTCACAGATGTTTCCTCTTATAGGAGGTGAAGAGTCATCAGGAGGTCACCTGCACTTTCCAAAGGGGCAGGAGAGTGTTGCCGAAGAACGTTTCTGTAGGCAGTTTCTGATTTATAAATAAAGTCTTTTCCTAAGCTTTACCTTTATAATGGTTTTAATTGTAAAATTGTGTTTCTTATAAAATCAGACCATAAAGGCATTGGTACAGTTTCTTCATAAACTCTTTCCTAAGAAATCATTGGTACCAGCACACTAGTAGGTTCTCAACCAAGCTCATAAAAGTAGATTTAACCCGAAGCCTGTCGAGTTCATGCTGAAAAGATCAGTGTGAGTTCTTGAAGAAGAGACCCAGAGGGCACCCAGAACAGGCTCGGAGGTCTTCCCTCCAGGTCTGGTGCTGCTATGCATTCTGCACAATTTCAAATCTGCCAGTGGCTGTGTCTGAGCCTCCTTTCCTAGGAGCCATTTCTGTCCTAACATCTCAGCCTACGTTACACTGAGCTCCTCATACTCTTATCTCTCCATTGAATGTTTCCAGAATGCTTCCCACTCCAAAGCTTGCCCTTCTCACTTCGTCTAAACTCACCATTTGTATTCCTCAGTGTCTGCTGTGTACATTTGTTGAAATGACACACAAGGATGCATTAGTGTGTACAACTGGATATACGTGAATCACAAATATGTTTTTGGAACAGGGTCTCACTATGTAGTGTATGTTGGCCTTGAGCTTGCTTATGTAGCCCAAGATGACCTCAAACTCACAATCCTCCTGCCTTAGCCCCCCAAGTGTTGAGATTACAGGCATATGCTGCCACACCTGGCCCCAAAATATTTTTTTAAATGCCTAATTCAGGGGCCAGGGAGATGGCTCAGTAGAATAAGTGCTTCCCTGGCAAGTGCAAGGGCCTGAGTTCAATCCCCAGTTCAAAAAAAAAAAAAAAAGCCTGATTCAGATGCAAGCTATCTAACTAAATGACTGACATTTAGGTAAATGCTTCCTAAATTCTCTATGCCTTTTGCTAAGTCTCCAAGTCCTTAGGATCTAGATAAGTGCTCAACAAATATAGTTAGAACTGAACATACACATTCAACTGATTTGCAGCTTTATACAGAGAATGCTCAAGGTAGCAAACACTGAAAACTTTATACCTGTTTAGAAAAGTCAGGCAAAGAATTTAGGGTGGTGTGAGTGAGTCTCTTTCTATGGTGAAGTTGGGTGGGCACAAGATTCAATTGGCTAGGAGCCACTGAGAGCAACTTCCCTTCCAAGATTTGCTTTGTCCTCAGTTTGTAAACCTGGAATATTTTTTAAAATGTTCCCAGTTCTATTTCAAGTGTAATTACAGTGTTTGAGCACAGCAGCAGAGTACAATTGCACCAAAAATAACATCAAGAATCAACAAACAGTGGGCTGGGGAGATAGCTCAGTGGCTTAGGCACTTGCCTGGCAAATGTGAGGTCCAGAGTTTGATCCCCAGTATACAAAAAAAAAAAAAAAAAAAAAAAAGAATTAAAAAATGGGATCATATTAAGCTAAAAAGCTTCTGCTCAGTAAAGAAAACAGCTAACAGAATGGAGAGACAACCTACAGAATGAGAGAAAAAACATTGCCAGCTGTTCTTCAGGGGACTAATATCTAGAATATATAAAGAACTCAAAGTGGTGGGGTATCCTGCAAGTTGGGTATTGAAGATGGAGGAAGCCCTGAGGAAACCTCTCATAACTATGGGGCTTGTACTGGGATGACTGGCTTTCTGGAACTCTGTTCTATTTGGAAGCTGAGTTATGGTAACCATCTAAAGGCCATTCACCAGGATATGTCCTCACTCAGCTGGGAGCATGTTTCCCTGTCTTGTGCCCAAAGTGAGCACACGGCTCAGTCCCTCTCTGATGTGCAGTTCCTGCGGGCTAGGGTCGTGTGCCTTCGATCCTAAAGAAAGTGTCGTGGAGGAGCACACACTTGCGGGTAGTTTCATAATGATGATGATAATGCTGATCTTTCCCTCCTTTGCCAGGCTAAGTGGGAGGAGATCTGTGGCACTCAGGACACAACTGTGGAGGTGTACGAGCACATCAGCTTGATGGCCCTGGACATCATCATGCACTGCGCATTCAGCCAAGAGACCAACTGCCAGATAAGTGGGTCAGTCACAAGAAAGAGAAAATCAAAATCAAATTGTTTGCAATACCTAATTATTAACACATTGTCCCAATTTGCCTTTCTAGCATCTATGGTCCTTATTTGAAAGCAACATCTGAACTCAGCAAAATCATATTTTATCGCTTGTACAACTTCTGGCATCACCATGACTTAATTTTTAAATTCAGCCCTATGGGCCGCCGCTTCCAGGAGTTGAGCCAAGTGCTACATCAATACACAGGTAAATATGCATGTATTTCTCAAGTTTGGGTTGCCCAAACCCATACACTGTGATGATTGTTTTATACCTATCTAGAGGCATAACCTCACTGTGAACACAAAAATATTCTTGCTCTTAGTGAAGTTCTATAATGCTCCAATGAAATACAACTTGAGTCCTTGTCTGATAGTTTAAACTGGATATTTATTGAAATTGGTCATTCTGTTCCATCTTTTCCAGGCATAGGATAGACCTTTTTATTGCACAAATTTAAATTTTTCCTAATTCAACAAACTTCTTTGGATTATGGTTTTATTAATTTCATTCCATATTTGTGTTTACTTTTTCATCTCAGATCCTTCAATTGTACGTTTTTTGACCTGAATTCACTTTTGTTTGATAGTTTCCATAAAGATAAGACTTCAAGCTAAAGAAGAAAAGAATGATTGATCCCTTGCATCTAAACTTAAAACATTATCTTAATTATACCACTTAGTTACTGATATAAACTATGGTTTGAATCTGTTGTGTTTATCTGGGGTTTTGATCAAATGTTGTCCATTTGATGGAAAAATAAACCATTATGTGAAAATTAAATCTATATGTAATATACCCACTCTGTCCTCTGAAAAGGAGTAAAATTTGGGGCTTTATATGGCCTCTCACTGGCTTTATAATTTATTTATCTTTATTATCACTTTGGTAATATGGAATTATTATTCCACCCAGAAAAAGTAATCCAGGACAGAAAGAAATCCCTGAAGTCTGAAATGAAACAGGATACCACTCAGAAGAAATGCCAGGATCTTCTGGATATTATCCTTGCTGCCCAGGTAAATCTTCCAAATAGCTGTACTTGCTCAAACAACCAGTTATGAAGGTGAACACATGGTAAGTGGAGAAGGGTGGGGAGACAAAAGCAAAACTGATAAACTAAATCTAGCATTACAGTGCTTGAATTGAAGTTTGTGGTAAAGAGAATTTTACAATTCTGTTAAATTGATTCCTTGGCAGGATTTGGAAATTATAATATAGATTCATGTTTAGGGAATCACATAAAACAAATCACATGGAGCTGGAGAGATACCTCAGTGGTATAAAGTGCCTGCTTAGGCAAGTGAAGGGACCACAGTTCTATCCCTGGCACCACATGCTATGCCAGCAGCACCCCCACGTCGGGCTGAGCCAGTCACAAAAAAAAATAAATAAGTAAAACACATGAACAAGCATGTACAATGAGGAGGAGGTGGTGCTGAAAAATCTGGATAAAATAGAATTTGAAGTACATTTCCGTGGCCTGATGTCTGCTTCTTATCTAATGTGGGTTCTCATATGTGCTGCAAGCAAAGTCTGGCTCCTATTATATGTTTGTGGAACTGAATTAAAATAGAAGCCATTGGGCTGGTGAGATGGCTCAGTGGTCTAAAGCACCTACTTGGAACAAGCTTGGCAAAGCACAGGGACCGCGGTTCGATCCCCCAGTACCATATGCC